GCCATGTCTGTGTGTGTGCTAAACGCCATGTCTGTGTGTGTGCTAAACGCCATGTGTGTCTGTGTGTGTGTGTGTCCTCAGGCTCCAGGATCTGACCGACAGAGACCTGGCCAAACAGGAGAGGGAAAAGACGCTCAACAGCCTGGAGGCCTTCATCTTCGAGACCCAGGTGGGCCTTAGTTTACCAGCAGAGTCTGTCGGGGGGGCTCAGGCCGCTCTCTCTGTGTATTTATTATTTTCATTGTTATTTTAAACAATACACCAGTCATCTCCAGCTATCTGTTCTTTACAACTGAATTTGAATCTGAAATTCTGCTGGATACACAGATAGGGATGAATGGTTCTCTCTCTATCACACACACAAAAATGGAGATCAATAACATTAAAATAGTACGAACATAACTCCTTTGGCTAAAACTAAAAAGGCTGGGTTGGACTCCAATTACACAGTGGGGAAAATAAGTAAATAATTTAAAAAATACAATGACATATAAGCTAGTAAATAAGCGCTAGTTCAGTTCTCCCTGTTCACTCAGGACGTAGCAGTTAACGTTAGCTAAAGCTAACCTAGTTGGCTAGCTGTATGATAACGTTAGCTAAAGCTAACCTAGTTGGCTAGCTGTATGCTACATGCTAGCATAAGGGCTCAGCTCAGGATTCTGACTCTGGAATAATAAATAATAGTAGATGAAGAGCTGTTGAATGCTAATGCAGATGTAGTTTTCTGGTTTTTGTAAACACCTGTATGGCCTTTCACACGTTTGAAATAATATAAACAATATCTATCACACTTTTGACTGCCTTTTTTTAATATACGCAGTACTGTTACTTTTACTTATACTTGCACTTTCAATACTTGAGTAGCAATTTTTGAAATACTTCTACTTGCAATACTTAAGTAGAAAAATAATTGAGTACTTCCGTACTTCAACTTAAGTCTGGTGTTGAAAGAATACTTCTACTTTTACTCAAGTAATTTTTTTTATATAGTACTTGTACTTCTACTCCAGTACTTTCTACATCTCTGCTTATTTCTGAGAGCGGTTTGGGACCGGATGCTTTATTTCCATTTGTCCTGAAGCCTGAATCACATCTGAGAGGAGGTCCGGAGGTTTCTGATCTGGTTTAAATTAAAGGGGAAACCTCAGTTTTGTTTAGTGGTGTTTTCCGTTTATTTATTTGTGTTGTACTTGCTGCTCTCTCTTTTTTAATTGTCTATATACTTTTTTAAAATTTGTATTCACATGTTTTTGTACGGTAAGAAGAAAGGATGTGGGTTATTACCAGAGATGTTTAAAGTACTGGAGTAGAGGAGTGGAGTAGAAGTACAAGTACTATGAAAAAAAATTTACATGAGTAAAAGTAGAAGTATTCTTTAAACATCATACTTAAGTGGAAGTACGGAAGTACTCAATTTTTTTTGTACTTAAGTATTGCAAGTAGAAGTATTTAAAAAATCATTACGTTTACATTTCAGTAACGAGTAACGATTCAGCCCGTGAAAAATCGATCGGAGTAATAGTATTGAAATTATCAAAAATATGTAGTGGAGTAAAAGTAGGGGAAAAAATATCTACTCCAATAAAGTACAGATTGCATTTTGGTACTTAAGTACAGTACTTAAGTAGTTCTACTTCGTTACTGAACATCTCTGGTTATTACTGATTTGTAGCATAATCTTGTAGGATTGGGGAGGGCTGGGGAAGGGAATGAGGGGTAGTTGTTTTTGTTTTTTCAATGTTTTTACTTGACCTTGTCACATGAATAAAATAAAAAAGGGAGGGCTGGGGAAGGAAAGGGAATGGGGGGTTGTTGTTTTTGTAAAAATGAAAAAAATGAAAGGGAAACCTCAGTTTTGTTTTGTGGTGTTTGCCGTTTATTTATTTGTGTTGTACTTGCTGCTCTCTCTTTTTTAATTGTCTCTATACTTTTTTTTTTTTTATTCACATGTTTTTGTACGGTAAGTGGGTTATTACTGATTTGTAGCATAGTCTTGTAGGATTGGGGAGGGCTGGGGAAGGAAAGGGAATGAGGGGTTGTTGTTGTTTTTGTAAAAATGAAAAGGAAAAAAAAAAATCCTTATTTTCACTGTTTGTACTTGGCCTTGTCACATGGATAAAAACTAAAACGAAAGGCAAACCTCTGCTGTGTCTCCAGGACAAGCTGCACCAGGAGGAGTACCAGCAGGTGGTGACGGAGGAGGAGCGTGAGCAGATCTCGGCGCGGCTGAGCGAGGCCTCTGATTGGATGGACGAGGACGGCTACGCGGCGTCCACCCGGCAGCTGCGGGAGCGGCTGGCCCAGCTGCGCGGCCTCTGCCGGGACATGTTCTTCCGGGTGGACGAGAGGCGCAAGTGGCCCGACCGGCTGGCCGCGCTGGACACGCTGCTCAACACCTCCAGCTTCTTCCTCAGGCGAGCGGGGGGGGGG